ATTTTATCATCTACTTGGCATCTGGTCCGTTTGTGGTGTAGTCTTGGTTCATTTATGTACCTTCTTTTATTGGGTGTAGCACGAGATGTAATTTTTCTTCGAATATTATAATATTTTACATATAGATCAACTTATACGTTGAAAAGTATGTAAGCACATCCTTGGTCCAGTGTCAAAAGTATAAACATGGATTATATTACGAAAATGACATTAAATCGAACCAGAAACTAAGAACCCCAATTTCGGAATCGAAATCAAATGATTTAACTTCATGAAATGAAATACATACACAGAGAATAGTATATATTTTGTTGGAGCAGCCCTACATCAGGCTTCATCCAAACAGCGACAAAATGTAATCACATTAATTCGCCTTTTTGGTTTTGCATGGCCAGCTTCACATCCTCATATGCAGCACACCAAAGTTTTAAACGTATATGAAATGCAGTAAATACATATGTAATTATATAGATATATATATATATAAATTATTGATTCCACCGCAGATTAGAGATTGTCCGCAGTGCACTCCTTGGGGGTTTGAGGGTAACGAGACTTGTCGGTGCAATAGTCATAGATCATATGGTTGGCTCGGACCCATTGGTAATTCTTGGCTTGTGCAGGGTTTAGTGTCCTGTAGGCTGGGCCTTCCCACCAATTGTTGGGGTTGGAAGGGCAGTTTGCAGGGCCTGGGACAGGGCATCCCTCGATGTCAAAGTCTTTGTAATAAGCATAGAATGGAGCTTTCTTCCAATCAATCTTCTCCAAACCACCCCTTGTCGCCCAGTCATCGGCTTCCCATAGCGTCGAATACACTCCCATTGGCTGTTGCTTTGGGTATGGAATTCCTTTGGCTTCGTTGTTCTTGTATACCCTAATGGGGATGTCATCCACAGCAAATCTGCATACAGTGTAAATGGGTATTATATGCATTATCCTCACAAAATCCATTTCATCCATACATTATCCTAACTTACATGATTAGCGAATGAGACCATGAGATTGAATAAGTATGGAAATCAGCTGAAGGGTCGAACCAAAGATTCACTCTTTGCTCTCTATCACCCTTTCCATGAGCATAGATGTTTGTTTGAACCGTGTATGGCTGCCCACTCCTATTTCCCAAGAACTCAAAGTCTAATTCGTCACGTATTGTATCTGTGTCTGAGTTCATCTACAACGAAACATTGAGATTAAATTTAATTTAAAATTATTTTACCCAAAAATTAAGTTTGTAACTTACATAAAAGGCAGTCACTGTTCCAGCAGAGTCACCCGGGACGAGTTTAATCTTCATACTAACTTTTCCGAACAAGTACTGACGTTTGGAAGCAAACCCACATCCTAGAAATCCATTAACATTCAGGTGAGATTTTGATTGAAACAAAAATTGACATTTGGCATCATGGTAAAGGGACATGTATCCCACGTATATTGATTGAAAAATAAGCGTTTCACCTGAATTTTGGTCGAGAACAAGTTGAATTCCTCTCCCACCATCGAGTTGCCTGACATGGTTATCCGCCCAGGTCACCCTAAAATCCTCAAGAAAAGTGGCGGGGCGTCCTGAAACAGCGATGGACAATGCAACAACACAGAGACAAACAACACCAAGGGCATTGAAGCTTCTTCTCAAAGCCATGGCTAAGGATATAGTAATAAAAGAGGGAAGATTTGAGTGTGATATGGGAAAGAAGAAATGAGAGGGTTTTATAGATACGAAAAGGGATATGAATAGGTGAGTGAGATTAATGAGGAAACGAAATGGAAAATGGGCATCGCATTGCAGCCCACAGCTTTGGATACAGCTAATAATTTAGGGCCTACTTCAGAAGCTGTACTGTTCGAAGTGACGTTGTTGGGTGCTTCATCTTTCGTTTGGGTTTGGATACAGTATCCATGTTTACTCAATCCACTTATAGGAATAGTCAATGAATGTAAGAAATGGAGGGGCTTGAATGCAAGTCTTGGCCGTCAAGAGTTGCTCAAATTGTGTTGCCTACCCACAAAGGTAATCTATCTAAGGAATTGTTCACTGTTCCAATCCATCCCTGGAACACTTTGTCTATTCACCAAAATTTATCTTAAAATAAGTATCCAAGGAATATCTTAAATCTTCTATTTTTGGTTCTTGTGGGTAGAATAGAATTTACTTCTTACTCCTTCAAATTGCTTTCCCTTCTTCCATCTTTAATACCTTCATTGATTAACATCCAAAAAGTTATCCTCCGTGACATAAACACATTACCCAACTCTCGTTTATAAGAGTGAAGATTATCCTCACAAACCAACACATAAAATTGCTCTAGACAAAACATGTTTAACCATAGAGTTCTTGTGATTGAGCCACCGAAAGAGAAGATGCAATCTTACTTATATAAATAGTGACTTTCAATTTTGTTAAGTCTTTCTTAATCGTTATATCATTAAGATGGCTCTCATTAAAATGTGGTCTCAGTTCATTTATATACCATCGACTATTCTATTATTATAAATGAACACAATGAAAGAGGGAGACAAATGGAGATGTGTAAACAACCGAATTAAATGGAAAAATAGGGAGAGAAAAGGAACATAGAATTGGAGGAATGTGTAGTTGTGTTTCAGAAATAGCATGGCTGATAGATAAGCTTTCTTTTCCATTCACTGATAACACACCAAATAATTTAAAGGGATCCAAACCCATAGCCCTACATATCATCTTCTCTTCCTTGCCTTTCACATCCATACAACAATCCCACGTGGGTTCCCCACCCCTATAACTCTCCCCATTAAAACCAAACACAACCACCTCTCATCCCTCCTTTTAAACAACTAATCTCGATATAGCTTAATAAATAAGATATCAATGAAAGTTCGTTCTCTAAACATTGGATGACATTGGGTGGGGTTTATTAAGAGAGCGAAATGAATTATTTGTAGGGCTTATTGCAAATTGCATGTTGGTTCATGCATTTCCACCAAAATTTGCATGAATGATGTGTATTTATGAAATGGTGTAGCATTCTCCGGATTTGTTTATCGGTTTAAGCCAAATCCACCAGCTGGTCGCGGCGGAACCTGGCTGATGTTGACTCCGTACCAGCTCTTCAATTTCTCTAACCATTTTACATTCTTTCAGATAAGAGTAGCCACCGATCTAACTACCCATTACTGAAAAAAAAAATCTAATTTAATTGATTGAGTTATCGAGTCGTGTCAACATACAATCTAAAATTTATCGCGAAAAGTCTAGAAAGAATTTTGCATCTGACATTATTTTTCAAAAAGAAAATTGCAAGACTAATAATCGAAATTTATATGATTGAATACTTTTTTAATAATATAAGATCATTCCAAATAAGTACTTTTCATTTCTTAAATAAATTTAATTATTAAAGACAGCTCACCCAAAAAGTGAACAATAAAAAAGGTCGTTTTCTTAGTTTTGCATGATTTAAAAAATATAACAAATAATATGGAACAATTATACGATAATTAGATGTCGTTTTTCTTCAAATTTTTGGTTTCTGCTTAATATTATAAATATTTATTAGTTTTTTTTTCAATAATTTATAGAAAATTATATATCAAGAACTACAATTTTTTTAGAAAATAAAAACTAAAAATAAAATCTCCTCTCTCTTGCCTTTTTCTCCTCTTAAAGTTTTATATCTTAAATAATTTCTACCACCATTCAATCATATGACAAAAAATAAAATCTTTATTTATTACATTAGCTCATCCCAATAAATTATAATTTTAAAATTAATAAATTGTGTAATTCCATTATTATGGAAAGTGACCTGATAACCTCTAAATGAAATGACTTGACTAGAATATAGTTCAAAATAATTAACTTTTTTTTCAATATAAATTTTGCTCAATTTTTTAGTGTATTTTATATTTGTATTGAAAAAAATATATATATCAAACACCTTCATGAATAGAATATTGAATTTATTTCTTTCATCTGAAATGCAATGCATGTTCTAAAAGAACATAATGGAGAGGGATGAACATGGTTTGTTTATATTTGTGACATGGACTAACTATATAAGATCTATACATGATTATGCTTAATTATGATTAAGTGAGGAGGTCATATTATGATTATGATAGTCTTATGATAGGATTTTAGAGGATTACCAACTACCTATAATTATGATAGTCATTTATGACTATTCCACCCATGTGTTCTAGTTTCTACAAGTACGAGGTCACTCTCTCATGTTAAAGTTATGTGTGTCAAAATATATTAGTGCACTATATTGAAACTCTAACTAGTTACCAACTCTCTCTAGTAGTGACTAAGAGTCATTTATGAGTAGTAGCTCAGGTATATATGTGAGTTGGCAAGCATTGCAACCTCCTCCTATGTTAGGATGCTATTCTAATGGGAGCTATAAGAATTTAACAACTACCTCCATCAATGAATGAGTCATTTATGTAAGCCACTTAGAAGGTTTACACGACAATAACGCCAATAGTTTGAAACCGAAGAAACGTTTGGATGATACACATTCACTTTTTTTCGACTACCAATTGACTAACATCTAGGTACAAGGTATGTCGCCTATGGCTAATCTTGGACAAGCATGACCGACCCAGCATCTCAATCGTGAAATTATATTTCCTCAAGTATTCATCACCTTTTAATTACTATTCCAATAACTAATTTTAGTTGGGGCAGCAGTATTAATAAACATTCCACGCATCGCAATTGTAAGCTTTTTGGTTGTCTTTTGTGAAGAATTATTATTCTTGAAGAGAAAAAGAAATAGAACCCCATGTTCAAGATAAGGCCAAAGAATGCACGAAGAGAAATAAAATTAAAAAAAAAGAAAAAAAGAAAAAATAGTTGAGTTGGTGAAGGTAGGGCCTCGTTACGGGTTGTGATTAGCTGTATGGAAAGCTAAGTTGTGAAGGTAGAGATTTCCCATTTCAATTTTTTATTAATCTCTGTGACCCACTCTCTTTTATTACCCCTCTATAAAGCCTCTCCTTTGTTCTATGAAATATCACATTCAAACTCATACCCATGGCTTTGAGAAGTTTCAATGCCATTGCTCTTGTTTGCGTGTGTTTTGTTGCATTTTTCATCGTTGTTTCATGTCGGCCGGCCACTTTTCTTGAGGATTTCAGAGTGACCTGGGCGGATAACCATATCAGGCAACTCGATGGTGGGCGGGGAATTCAACTCGTTCTAGACCAAAATTCAGGTGAAATGCTCATATTTATATATTTACCCACTTAATTTGTTTATGGAAAGCACACATTTTAAGGACATTAAGTTAATTTTAATACAATTAAAACTTTTTACATCAATAAGAAGCCTCAACTCTAAAAATTTATGATTTAGGATGTGGGTTTGCTTCAAAACGTCAATACTTGTTTGGAAAAGTGAGTATGAAGATCAAACTCGTCCCTGGCGACTCTGCGGGAACAGTGACAGCCTTTTACGTAAGTAACCATTAAGCATAAGTTAACTTAATTTTTGTGTAAAATAATTTTGAATTAAATTCAATCACAATGTTTCATTGTAGATGAACTCAGACACAGACACAATACGTGATGAATTAGACTTTGAGTTCTTGGGAAATAGAACTGGGCAGCCATACACAGTTCAAACAAACATTTACGCTCATGGGAAAGGTGACAGAGAGCAAAGAGTGAACCTTTGGTTCGACCCTTCCGCTGATTTCCATACTTACTCAATCTCGTGGTCTCACACGCGAATAATGTAAGTTATGATAAAATATATTGATGATAAATATAGCACGTATTGCATATAATACTTATTTACATTGTATGCAGATTTGCTGTGGATGAGATCCCCATAAGAGTGTACAAGAACAACGAAGCCAGGGGAATTCCATACCCAAAGCAACAGCCAATGGGAGTGTATTCGACGCTGTGGGAAGCCGATGACTGGGCGACAAGAGGTGGTTTGGAGAAGATTGATTGGAAGAAAGCTCCATTCTATGCCTATTACAAAGACTTTGACATCGAGGGATGCCCTGTCCCAGGCCCTGCAAACTGCCCTTCAAACCCCAACAATTGGTGGGAAGGCCCAGCATATCGATCACTCACGCCGACACAAGCTAGAAATTACAGATGGGTTCGTATGAACCATATGATTTATGACTATTGCACCGACAAATCTCGCTACCCCATCACCCCCCCAGAGTGCATTGCTGGAATATGAAATGTTTAAAAAATGCAGAGATGGTCCATATGAGATACCTAGAGAAAGTAATTATTATTGAACGGAAATTGTCATAGGAAACCGATATGTATAATTTGTCATTGTCACAACTTCAATAATCCTTGTGACCAATAAATATTGTTTATGATATGCTTTCAAATAACAAAGTAAGTATTTATCATGTAAATTTGAGCTTACCTTAATTTTAATTGATTAAAATATATTTTTTTAATTAAAATGGGATAGATTTGGTCACATGTTTATTCAAGTTTATTGACAAAGATACAAAATTTAAACAAACAATAAGACTCATGATACACAAACGGGCCGACACTCCGAGATGACCTTCTCTATTACTGATAGCTTTCTAAAGCTCCCCACCTCGACCGGCAGTCATCAATACGTGAACAAAAGAAAGTAGAATGATGTTAGTATAACAATATTTAGTAAATAGTCTATTTGTAAGTTCTCATTGCATTTGATCCTAATAAAGCTACCATAGGCTTTTCTCTCCGCTTTAAGGAGTTCAGGACTAATTTTGAAAATTAATATCCTTCTTAAAAAAAATTTAAAAAATTCTTAACTGGAGTTTATGAATTGAAACCATTTATCTATACTCTATCAATATTCTTTCTTTTCCAAGTTTTTAACATTAAAAAGTTGTGAAAATATTTTTATTAATTTATCATAATAGTTGATAAAATTATAATTTTGAAACAAATGTAAAGTGTAAGGATAAAGAAGAAACTACCAACTCAACATATTTAATCCAGTAATTGACATATACTATTTCTCTAAATTCAATTTTTTTTTTTTTTTTTCAATTGGTGAGAAATTCCTTTATAGACCTCCTCTCTCTCGCACGTGCCGAGATCACACGTTTGGGTAGTTTTGGTGAAAGGGCTCTCGATCGAGATTGCAAGGGTACGGTCATTTCAATTATAACTCGGGCATCGGCGATTTGTTAGAGAAAGAGAGAGTCAAAAGAGAATGGCAATGGCGACGATCCGATCCAATCTTCTTCGCGCTGCCTTCCGCGGTGCCTCTCGGAACTCCGCTCAGCCTAAACGCGGCTTTGCTTCCTCTGCTCACGACGATGCTCGTAAGTCTCTCTCTCGGTATTTCTGGATATGTTTTTTTCTTTATGGACGGAAATTTTCTTGTTACTTTTGGCAACTTCGTTTAGCCCATTCATTTTCCTGGCCTATTTTTATGATGAAATTGGGGAAACTAGGATGATGTTAATTATTGAATCGTGTTCAGAAATTTGGACCAAGATAATTTGGTCGGGCGCTCTTTGTTCCTTTTAGATTGCAAGTCTTGCAAGGGGAGGTTTTTTTTTTCCTTCAATTTTAAATTCAGATTTAAATGTTAAATCATAGTATGGGATGGGAGTATATACATGACATATTTGACAATTAACTTTAGATAGGGTTTCCAGTCGCTAAAGGAGTAGTTTTGATTTAAAGTTCGTGGTAAGGAAAAAGACAAGAGGGGCAAAAGCTTCCTGTTCCATTACTGAGTGGCAACAATATCATTCTTGATTTCTGTAATTACATAAAAATGCTTTCTAAAGTCTTAGATGTGGCTTGTGGTAGGTTCAGTTTCCTTTTGATTTCACATAAATACGACATGAAGGAAAGGGAATATGCAGTAAGTTTATTAGACGGTTTAGGGCTTTAGTTAAAAAAAATTCTTCTCTGGGAAGTTTATACACCTCTAATCCTACGCCTGCCTCTTATTTCTTTATTTCCCCCATTTTTTCTTTCTTTCTTTTCCCCCACACAATTCTGGGTTGCGAGTAAGGGGACGAATATTATTCTGTGTTTTGAGGTGATTTCAGTAAATTGTTGGAGCTAAACCAATCTGTGCTGTGAATTTATTTTATATTGTTCCACCATAACATATACTTGATGGTGGCCTTTACTTAGTTGGGTACAAATTATGTATTGTTATTTTTAAATACTATTTCAGACTTATAGTGTACAAACAAGTGGGAGAGAAAAATTTTATGCAGGAGCGCAATGATGCTTGTACTGCCTATGCTTTATCTCTCATACAACCCTTCTTTCTTTATTTCAGTTGAAACGGCAAAATGGGAGAAGATTACTTATGCAGGCATTGCAGCCTGCACCACTTTAGCATTCTATAATCTATCAAAGGGCCACCCCCACCATGAAGAGCCCCCTGTGAGCTACAACTTTAGTCAATTTATAATTTTCCTACCACTTCTCAGTATCCTAGTTGCATTATTCATTGTACTCTCATGTGTGGCCAATTCATTTTTGTTTGGGTTTTCATTGTATGCAGGCATACCCATATTTGCACATACGCAATAAGGAGTTCCCATGGGGTAAGTTTCCATTGCATTACAAGTTCTATGACATCTTTTTTATCTCTTGGCAGTCGCAATTTGGGTTTTGATGAGGTAACTAGAACTGGATGCTGCAGTGATATCATGTAGTATATATTTACTGGACGCCAAGCAAACTTACAGCTATCTTGTAACTAATATATTTACTGCTAATTTGGCAGCTAGCAACTAATATGCTCATAAATACCTCGTTCAGCTTGCTAACAGTTTTTAGTCCTATTATAACCTTGTCCTTTCATTAACCCAACTCTCACTACTTTTAAATGCTCCATGGTCAAAATTTCTAATGGTAGTTCGACAGCTTCCTCTTTCTGTTGGTCGATCATCTCAAGGGGTCTATGGATACTTATGGGATAAAAGTGTTTGTAAGCTGTTTCCAAGAAGTAAACATTTTAGAATAAAAGTTATATGTTTTTGTAACTGTTTTCGACAGTTGCTTCACTCAGTATATTTTAGAAGAACTGCAGTTGAAATGTTAAAATCTTTACAAACGAAAAAGTCATAGCATCATCGTAGGAAAAAGAGCTGGAGATGATGTACCACGGCATTTGTCAGAACTGGTTGAATTTGATCAATGATCTTATATTCGTTCATCTTTACTCTCTGCTCGTTGCTCATTTGCTCCTTTTCTGTTTATTATTTATTGTGAAAATAATATTGTTTTATTTTCAATCCCTTTTGCATCAGGTCCCGATGGTCTCTTTGAGGTGAAACATCACTGAGGACTATTTTGGTTCAAGGGGACATCGAGCATGGTAATTCTACTTCTCATTTGGTTCATATCAGAAAGACTTCGTTGACCCGTTTGGTTGGATTTTTCTTTTTAATGATGCGTGGGCCATTTTGCATTTGTTAAATGCTAGCAGGGTCCTATGTGAATGAATCATGGTTTAATTTCTTGTGTTGTCAACACTATCCTTCCTGATTAATAAGCCAAACTTTCCACCATTCTAAGGCTCAGTTTGCAGTATGCTGTGTTTGGATTGAAATGTGAGTTTGTAAGTAATAATAGTATTTGAGGTGGTGATGTTTACTTGGTAAACTGAAGCAGTTGTTTGGTTTATCAACAAAGTTGGAATAGGAACTTCGATTTATAAATATTAACGATACATTTTTATTTAAATAATATTTTAATATTTAATAATTAAAAATATATTTATTTTATTTAAATCATATTTAAATAAAATATCTTAACGTGTATTTAACTCCAAATCAAATATATTTCTCATTTATATGTGATATTAAATATATTAAATATTAATTTAAACATTTCAAATTCTTTCAACTAAATTTATTTTTAACAAGGGGTTAGAACTTTTATGCACTATAGAATAAATTGTGCCTATGACATTGTAAGTGAATAGATTATTTATGAGTTGATTTATGATCGAATTATAAATGAAGCCTCTCTTGAGTATTGGGAGGGTATGATCTCATTACTCTACCTAAATCAACATTTAGGAACTACATATCTATTTTCTTATATGCAAATAAACAAATTCCATCTCATAAGGTTACCTTTCCAAATAAAGGACAAAGCAGTAGTTTATAACTCATTGAAGATTGAGTCACATATGATCACTCTATAAAACATTAATCTTTTCGATTAATAGAGTTACAAAGAGAAGTTGAAATTTTTCATATTAATTTTTTCAATTAATAGGGTTATAAATTGAAATTAAAATTTTCGTAGTTTAGAGAGATCCTATATTGGTTGAAAAGGAGAATGAAACATTCTTTATAAGTGTGTGGAAACCTCTCACTCGAAGAAAGGATGTTAGGCCCTGACGGGGGATTGATTGTGTTCCAATGAGTAGGACGCTAGGCCCTGAAGGGGGATTGATTGTGTTCCAACGAGTAGGACGCTAGACCCTGAAAGGAGATTGATTGTGAAATCACACATTGGTTTGTGAAAAAAATGTATATCAATTGTTTTATTAATAAGTGAGAAAAAGATTCTATCACAATTCCCGACACATGGTTCCTACCTATCAGCATTTCTCGTAGCCCTTGCAACAATAGTTGAACGACAGTTACAAAATTTAGCAAGTGGTTTAAATTAAAACAGTCGCAATAAAAGTAGGGAGCGCATTTTAGTATGACATGGAAGTAGAAATTACAACAGTTAAATTACCAAAGAAGAGAAGTGACAAAATTTTGTATGTTTCAAGACAACAAAATCTTGTAACCGACAATGATCCAACCATGTCAAGAAAAAATTACAAGTAATATAAAATAGGAATTAATATTTTTTTTTTTTTTGAACGTTCATACGTTTTCTAGAGAATCCACATCCAAACATGTTGAATTCTTTGTAGAAAATCTTTTGAATGTATGTCAATAACAAGATATATCAAAATTGAACGGAAGTCAAACTCACTCATTTCAGTATTTCCAAGAATGTAATACTCTTCATGAAACGTGCAGTTATATCCTCTCCTCCATATTTTAGCTCAACATTAACTTATATCATACTCTTGACAAACACTAAATTAGGATTCACAATTTCTAAATATCAAATATACCTAATTACAAACATTGAAGCTACAATAAGGCCTTATTTGTGGTCAAGATGTCTCAGAATCATGTTATAACCTCACAAACACACACAAATATCTCATTCTGTCAAATTAGTGGTTTTTGCTTGTACGCTATTTAATTCAAGTAAACTCAACGAGTATCAAGAGCACTGCTCCAGATTCTCACAAGTTACATCCCATACGTCTTTAGATAGCCACGGGTAATGGACCACATGCAATACTCTCCATCTCAACCAAAGATAACGATAAAACAAAGTTAATTCTCACTATAATTAAAAATGATAGACGTTTAGATTTCTCATTTGTTATAATTTCTAATGTGTTCGGTGACATTAGAAATTATAACTAATGAGATTAAATTTATTGAAGATAAAGAAAAAAAAACCTACCGCTTTAAATTAGTTCATCTCATTCAAGTAAACGATGCGTATTAACACTAAGTAAGAAAAAACTAAAGGTTTCATGACTTAGAAGGAGGGAGTTTGGTGTCTCTTATCATCTCAACTACTTTTCTCATGGAAGGTCTGTCAATGGGCAAAGCAGATGTACAAAGCACAGCCACATCCAAAATCTTTGCTATCTCCTCTACTTCACATGTTCTTGGATCCAACTTTTCATCAATTATCTCATCCAAGCTCAACCCTTTCTCCTCAACCTCTGATAAAGCAGCCTCCGTTACCCATTTCACGATATCTTTGTTCTCCCCAAAGCTCGGGTCGTTTGGTCGCTTCCCCGTCACTAACTCCATCAAAACTACTCCAAAGCTATACACGTCGCTCTTCTCGGTTACCTTCATAGTATATCCATATTCTGCAATGCAATTCAAAATATTAAGATTAATATGAGTTGTAGAATGATTAAAAACTTAAAAAGGCTTTAGCTTTTGGATGTTGCATACCGGGGGCAATATAGCCGTAGGAGCCAGCGATGCGAGACATGACACCAGCATCGTTGCCCTCTGTCTGGCGTTCCAGCGTCTTTGCCAGGCCAAAATCAGCCACTCGAGGGCAAAATTCAGCGTCCAACAGAATGTTGTTGCTCTTCACGTCGCGATGGATTATTGGAGGGACGCAGTCGTGGTGCAGATAAGCTAATCCCTGGGCCGCTCCCATGGCGATGTTCAATCTTTTCGACCAATCTGACAAAGCTTCGGATTTGTTCTCGTGTAGAACATCTCCTAAGCTTCCATTCTCCATGTACTCATACACAAGGATTCTACTTCCTTCGCCATTGCTGCAACTGAAGATCAACTTCACAATATTGGCATGCCGGATCCGACCCAACGTCTCAACTTCCGATTGGAAAACCGATTCAATATCCGATTGGTTGTGGCCTCTCCACAGACTTTTGGCGGCTACGGTCTGACCTGTTTTCAGATTCACTTTGAATACGGTACCCGAACCGCCCGACCCGATTATATTCCCTTTGGTTAGATGAGGAATTACATCTTCTTCGTCGAACCCGACCCTTTGGAACTTGGTCGCCGTCCATGGAGATTTGGATTTGCCCAACAGATTCATCTTGAATTTGATTACCCAAATGAGAGACCCGATGAGAACGAAAGCCAGAACTGAGAGAATCACCACAACATAGAAGCTTGAGGGTTTGGGTTTTGAGCACCGGTTCAGTGGCTTCAAATCCGAGCTACAGAGACCCGGATTACCCAGTAAACTACCGACGAACTGTTCGTTGACGAGGCCGGATGGAACTTTTCCGGTCAATTTGTTGTTCGATAAATTGAATTGGTCCGGTTTCAGCTTTGTTAATTCCTCGGGGATTTCGCCGGAGAGTAAATTTGAAGAGAGATCCAAGTACGTTAGAACCGGTAAATCGCCAAGCTGAGGCGGAATCTTGCCGGTAAATTGATTATGGGACAGATTCAGCTCGGTTAGTTCTTTCCAGAACTGAACCAACTTGGGAATTTCGCCGGCGAACTGGTTTTCTTGCATGTCGAGCTTTTGAAGTTTCTGCAACTCTGTTATACAGGAAGGAACTCCACCGGTGAATTTGTTCCTGCCGATGTCAAACCGAACTAGCTCTTTCAATTTGCAAATCTCTGCTGGCAACTGGCCGGAGAAGTTGTTACCGGAAATCAACAACACTTGGAGATCGCGAGCGAGACTTATCGCCGGCGGAATGGAGCCCTGAAATTGATTATCCGACATCTGTATGCTATTAAGCTTGGGGAGTTTCCAGAACGAGTCCGGTACCTCGCCGGAAAGTTGATTGTCCTCGACTCTGACATATACAAGAGAATCACAAGCGCCGTACGATTCTGGGAAATTCCCAGAGAAGCTGTTGCTGAATAAAATAAATTTCTGAAGGCGGTTTTGTTGGCAGAGAAATTTCGGAATATTACCTTCGAAATGGTTGGAAGAGAAATCAATCTCAGTAAAGGGAGAGTTGAGACCCAAATTTTGGGGAAGTGTCCCAGAAAAGCTATTGTTGAACAGTTTCAAATCTGTAAGATGTGGGCTCGAAGCTAAACTCTCCGGAAACTCCCCTTGGAGGAAGTTGTCATTGAGATGCAGAATTTCTAGAGGGATCGCAGCAAATTTATCCGGTAACTTTCCGGTGAGACTATTCTGCGAGAGGTCGAGACGTGACAGAGAAGTCCAATTACCGATGCTCTCTGGCAATTCACCGGAGATTCGGTTATTGTAGAGTTGGATACTCTTTATGCTCCTGAGTCCGCCGATTGAATCCGGGAGCGGGCCAGATATCGAATTGAAAGTTAAATCAAGATTGGTAAGCATAGCAAGTTTTCCGATGGAACCAGGAATGGGTCCGGTGAGATTTGCTGTGCTTATAAACATATTTTCGAGTTTTAACAGGTTTCCGTACTCGGACGGTAAGGGACTCGGTTTGAAGGGATTATAAGCGATGGCCATTTCGGTTAACTGACTGAGATTTCCCAGAACAGAGGGGACAGGGCCGTCGAGCAAATTCATCGTCAAACGAAGCACTCTGAGCGCCGGCAACTGGCCGAAACTGAGAGGAACATCGCCGGTGAAATTATTGGAGGAGAGATCGAGAATTTGAAGCTGTGTGAAAAGAGGGGAAAACTCGGGCAGCCTACCGACAAGTAGATTAGAGGAAAGATTGAGAAGTTGGAGATGAGAACAGAGAGAGAAGGAAGGGGAGAGTAAAGTTCCATTGATGTTGGTGACTGTGATAGAAAGGTTTCGAAGGGTGGGAATCCGGCAGAAATCGTAGGGAAATCCGCCGGCGATGTTGGAAGTGGTCAAATTGATGGCAAGAACAGAAAGGTTAGTGGAATCGCAGGTGATGCCAGTCCAAGAACAGGGGGTGTGAGCTTGGTTGGGAACCCAATCCTTCAAAGCTCCATCGGGATCGTCGAGATGGGTGTTCTTGACACGAATCAGAATATCGTAGTCGACGTTGGAGAAGAGACCCACAGCGAAGAAGTGGAAGAAGGAGAGAGTGAAAAGAAGAAAGAGAGAGGATGGTGGAAAGTTCAAAAATGGCATCTTTAGAGAGAGAGAGAGAGAGAGAGAGAGAGGGCGGTGATTTTGGATCGGTAATGGATGATGAAACAGAGGTTTGGATTTATAAAGTGGAGTGTGGAAATTGTGAGATACATACATGATGTGAACCAAGCAAATCATTTTTTATTTTGAAAAACAAATAAATAAATATTGTAGCATACGGGAAAGAGAAAAGAGTCACTTTTTTTTTATTAATTAATGGGTGGGTAAATTAGATTTAATTCCATGAAACGTGATTCCTTTTTATTTCTGGGAAAAGTAAAAAATAATAAAAATAATAATAATAACATGAAGGAGCTTGGTTGCTAAATTCCATTTTACAGCTAACACTATAAGGAGTGTGCTTCTAGAAGGATACATTTGTCTCCTAAAATAAATAATTATTTAATTCTGATTCCTGTTGCAGCCAATCAAAATTTTAAATTATTCCAGGTTACATAAATTTAATAACAAATTTTTATTATCCTAAACCCAATTTTCCATTTCTAAAATCATTTCTATTTCTTGGTGCAATTTTATGTACATCTTGTAAATCCTATCAATTAGTGCTTTGGCGTCCTTTTCCAATTATATAATTCAATTCTCTCCTCTCTAATTATTGCCCTTCTTTCTCCCTCTCTTTCACATATATATATATATATTTTTATTTATTTCGATTAAATGACTAAGATAATCTCAACCCTAAAAACAAGTATTATAAAACGCTCCGAATCTAAATTTTAAATCTTCATTCTTACTGGGTTATAAAAATAAATAAATAAAAAAAAGTAATTTATTTATGTATTTAGAAAAATGGTTGGAAATGGAATGAAAAAGTGAAGGGAGAAAAACAAAAAGAAAAACAAAAGAGTCAACCGCACGAAAAGGTGTTAGTAAAGCATGGTGGTAGCGCAGTGTTCCAAAAGGGACACACATTATATGGCTTCATTTTTTTTTTTTTTTTTTTTGAATAAAATAAGTTAGTGGTCATATTATCTTTCCAATTCTGTTCTACTCAAAAATAAAATTTTAATTTGTTATGTGCAGATATTTAGATATTAATAATAATATTTAAATTTGATATTTGGAGAAATGGGGAGAAATATGAAAAGAAAAAATTGGTTAAATATTCGAAAGGGTTGAAAGCGATGTGTGAGGTACATATTGGGTGGAAGAAGATGGGTAAATGGATCGCTTATCACTTAAAATTGGGATAAAATGATTCCTAATTCATTCCAAATGGTCGGTTACTGCCTCACTATTTATTCCAGAATATATTCTTCCTTTTATTTCTTTGTTTCATATTTCTAAAACAACTTCAAATTTCATCCATTCTCATATAAAACCTTAATATTACTATGCTTTTTATCGAATACTTAGAAAAACACGAAACTAGTTTATATCAAATCAAATCAAATCAAGTTGACGTTTGATTCTATACCCTTCAAACTATGTCTACCAAATGCCTTACGTTACAAGTATCTAAATGATAATTCCTTTCTTTAAATTTTGAACTTGGTTTACAAACAAATATCTTGTGTTGTCATGCTTTGGGCTTGAGGAGCATAGTCATATAAGCCTAAGTTTATAGAGCAATATTGAAGCATTTGGGTCCAAATATGCTGTTGCTGCTACTGCACTCCACTATGTGTTAATGCTTTTGTACCCATTTGCCTTTCATGTTGACCCCATTCAAGTCTCTATGGAATATGACGTCATTATTACTTCTTATTAATTTAAAGTAATGGAGTTAATTATGTTAGAGAAATCATATATTATTGAATTTTGAATTCATTGGGAGGTTGGATTTATTTGGAATAAGTGATTTTGGACTGACTGCTTTTTGAACGAGCGTGTGTGTGTTTACACTACCGGCTTTTGCAATAAACTACTACTACGCCACTTTTTGTAGCATCCATTTATTTGACCTATGCCGACCGAATATCTTTTTTAGAATTTAGTTCTTTAATCTTTTTTTAATTTAGTTTAATTTTCTCCTCGCTTTGATCCAAAAACATAAAGATTATGAGCCCACCACGCTTTCGTTGCACCACTCTAATTGTCAAAAGTTAGACATGAACAAAATGAGAAAACTATAGTTTGGTTTGAATACCACTCATTTAAGTATTTCTGAAAAGAATACTTTAAATGAAAACAATTATTTTATTAAAAAAAACAATAATTTCCCACGCAATATTAATTTGAATAGAAATTTGAATAGAGTAGTAAAGGGTTTATTATGGTTATTAAATTGTATTGGTTAAAGTATTGCGTGGTAAGGTAACAAATAAAAGATGACATATAAGTATAATCAATAAAATATCACCCACCCATAAATAAAATATAGCATCATACCTACAATCCAAGACTGTGGCATCATAATGTTTTAAATGCGCTTTGACCCTTTCTAAATTCTTTTTATTGCTTCCCAATACAAATATAAAATACAAACATTTGTATTTTTTAAAGGAATGCCTTTCAGTTTACTATTTAATTTTTTTTACCTTTATTCAAACTTTGGTCTTTACATTTTTCACATTTCTCTCAAATTTGTATCTTCAATGCTTACAACATTGTTTTACTCATCCAAAAAACTCGAATCAAATTAGGATCACACGACTCAAGGGCACACATGAAAGTGTAGTGAGAATTTATTCCGTGATTTTGTCCTTCTATGTTGGCCTATAATACAAGAAATTGATCATGCTATCTATTGAAACGCATATTTAATTTAATATTGATATCCAAAAAACATCCACGATACAAACAAGTAATGAAAGGTTGGTAATGAAATAATTGAGTTTGATTAATTGGGTATGCATAAACAAAGGTGGTAAGGCATTATTTTTGTCAAAATCAAGACTGAACATTGAAACTGGGTTTAATTTATGAAAACAAAATAGTGGATAACTTTATTGTGAGGAAGAAATTAAAAGATAGTTTGGGTAATTGGGAGGTTGAATGGTAGGGGATTGAGACTGTTGAACTAATCCGTTTGTGTTGAATGGATGGGCGATCATATAATATACACACACGCCCAACCAACCAAACCAATAATTAATTATTATTGAAACACAAAAAAAGAAGACAAAAAAGTAAGTTAGTAGACTCACAAGTCAACTTACTTTTTTCCAATGCTCACTGCAAGCTGTGCCATTAAATTTAACCTATCATCTTCAATCATGCTCACTCCTACTTTACAATCAACTTTCAAACCTAAAAAACAAATTTGTTTTCTAAAGCCTATTTCAATTTGAAATTTGACTAAAAAAAGTAATGCGAGTAGAGAAGAAATTGCATATGAATAAACTGAAAAACACATCTAAGTGAGAGCAATAGAAAAAGATTTAGAATAATTAACTTTAAAGTTTTTAATCCTTCAATTCTAATTGGTTTTTGTTTGGCTTAAATTTCTAATTCATGGTCCCTTTATTTTATTGTTGGTTTGTTTTATTATATAATGTTTCAATGTATCATCAAATCATATTGAATTTTAGTGTAAGTTTCTTTTTATTGCGCAATTTAAATATTCTCCAACTAGTCCTAATCATTTTTTTTTCTTTTTGAACGGTTTTGGTCATCTTAAGGTCATACAATATCTAATGGAACATATCGTCCAAGTGCTCTTGGATTTGATGCTTTATTTTTGAAAATGATTGATCCTCAATGCCCTTTTGATTTTTCTTTTAGGTTAAAATACTATTTTAGTGTGTCAACTTATTTTCAAACACCTTAATTAAAGTTAAATGTATTTTTAATAAAATTTAAACTTTTTTTATTTATCAAAATTGGTTAAAGTTGACATAAGGAGGTCTCTGGAGCTGTTATAAAAGGTGGATTTTTAGAGTATTTTGCTATTTCTGGAAGCATTTCTCACGCTTTGAAGGTAAGTAATCCCATGCTTTGAAGATATGTTTATGCAATAAGAACGTCATATTCGATAGTTTATTCCTAAAAATACTTTTAAAGAGATAATCAATTTAAACGGTTCATAAATTAGTAATTCCTCAAACCTAGTTCCTAATTAAACAAAAATGTATATATATATTAAAAGTAAATATATTATGTATAAAAATACTATGTATAATTTGTTGAAAATTATCGAACAAAACCGTAAAAATTATGTAGAAAACATCATTTAAACTTGAAGACACGGAGAGTATAACAGATATGGGCCTTTTGGGCCCATATTTGTTAAAGGCCCATATATAAAATGGCCGCATCGAAGAATGAAGAAAATCGATAATTTTTTTTTTGTTCTTCAGCTCATATATTCGTTTTCATATTTTAATTTTTTGAAACATAGCTCCAATAATTATGTCACAATAATGCAATGAAAATAAGATTGATTTTGCAAACTTTAGGCGGTCAATGTTAAGGGCCATATGTTGTCCGCTCTCTTGTGGTGGGAAGATTTTTGAACAACCAAACCCCACTCCCACTCCCTCTTCCAACCAAACCTTTTTATACTGAGAGTGTTGACGTGGATGGGACGTGCCACGTCAGTTATGATCTGTTGGGCTTGGAGTGGTGGGCTGAGAGCTTATGGGTTGAAGACCCTGGACTTGGGCTACTGGGCCGACTTGCTGTCATATCAAATTTCATTTTGATATCTTCTCAGAACAGAGACGAGAGAGAACACATATCAAAATAACGTTTTGAGCTTATACCTTGACAATGAACTCCCGGACTTCCCAACCTAGTAGTCACTAGAGGTAGAGACATGTCTTCAACAATGAACGGCAGAGGATAAGATTCACTGAAAATGTAGGCAATAGGAGAGAGAAGCACAAACCCAAATTTGTGAATGTGCATTAATAAAAAGGAATCCCAAGAGGAAACAGTCCAAAAGCAAAGGGATGGAGGGCAGGTACACGCATATGGGGTCGCCCGATTCTGACGCCATTTTACAGAGCGCCCTACTTCTAAACACTGCCCTTCACTCCAACTTGTGGGTTGTTCCCTTTTTATCTCTTCACACACCACTCTCCTTTTTCCCTATGCAACATTATTGGCTTTCATTAATCTAGATGGGTACATGAATAAAGTA